TCTAAAATGTTCAGATTGGAATCCTAATTGACTGGATTTCGTGAATTGGCTGAGGAGACAGGCTGTGGGCCAGAAAAGGGCTGTTGGGACTCCCAACTGGACTGTCTCCCAACTTGGGAGACAGTCCAGCATGTTTTCCGACCTCTGGCTCGGCGATGGGAGCGTTGACCACCGAGGCGTCGCACGCGTGACGCAAGTAGCCCTCCGAAGATGGGGGGAAGCCAGTGCGAGACTGCTAGCCGCACTGCTTGTCAAAGAAAGTGATTCGTCAGCCTTTGGCATGCATACATGGGCACAGCAGGGCTTTGTGTACGCTAACGCACAGGTCTGCCGCACCGAACAAGGCACGCCTTCTCGACAGGGTTTGTGCAAGCTTTGCGTTCTGCCACGCACTAGACAACCAAGTCACGTTTTCTAGACAAGCTCCGTTCGAGTTTTGCCTAAATCCGACAAAAGCCAGTGCCGGCCAGCCAGTGTGTTCCTGGGAGACGGTGTTTCGGTGCCTGAGGTAATTTAATGATCTCCGAGTGATCTTGTGTGTGGATGTCCTGCACCTACCACCTTCCGCTACGGTTATGGTGTTGTGGTCGTGGATCATAATGCACGGTATGCTCTGAAGGGTCGGTGAATACTATTTTCGGCAATTTTAAAGGTTTGATCTGCAGTGGTATTGACCTCAAATGACATTGACCTCACCGTCAAATAACCATAACACCACCCTTGACACGCTTTAGCTCCTGGTTCACGATACTGCGAGTGTGAGAGGAAATTCATGTAATGCTCACGATCTGGCCTGATGTGGCGTTGACTTGGATGGGGCCCATTTAAACTTAGACGACCCACTCACCGTTCTTGCAATGCCATTGGATGTTATCAGATGATGGCAGATTGCCACGCACCTGCTATTTCTCGGTGTGATCAATGATGGTGCATGCCGGGGCGAAGGGTGTTTATAAAACACAGACGCTGAAGGCCACCGAGCGATGGAGCACTGTAGCACGCCTAAAGTTGATTCTGATACAAAACCGCGGAGCATTCACCCTCACCAAGCCATGCCATAGATATCTGCCGATGCTGGTCACGTACATGTTCATCCATATCAGTATTTTACACGAGCACAATATCTTCTCATATCCTCGCCTGCCGAATTATCCCAGCTCAGTCACTGGCCTAGGTACGTGATACGTTGTTTGTAGTCCCCACGTTTTGCTCTGTTCGACACAATATCGATGAAACTGAACCATATTGCGGCACCATTCATTGTGAATGGCAGCGTGTTTGAAAGCGGAAAAAGCACTCGTAAGTAGCTCACATTTTTTGGTGAATTTGTACACGAAGTTATGATAGCCTTTCATGAAACATTGCTTCGTCAAAACCTAACACAAGGACTTCCCCTGAGAGTGTGGAGCCGAGCAATGCTTCACGAACAAAGGCAAGCTGGACACAGTACTTCAAGAAAGCTACAAAGCGCCGACAGAACAACATGCCTTATTGAAAATCGTGAGCCATTGGGAGTCGTTCGAGTTGTTTTCAACCCTGCTATCAGATAATTGGTTAAGGCCTGGAGACACTGAAAAACACGACGAACTGCGACTGAGAAGTCCAAAACCAAAGACAATCCTCCAGCCAGAGGAAAACGCTACTGGAAAAGTACGCGAGCATGTATGTGTACCCGCCATTCTTTGGGGCCATGCGCAGGCTACACGGTAAGGAGTTTTCTAATGCAATTTTCAGACAGGCAAGGGCCGGTGGCAGACCGCGGCAATGTCACGGCAAAATTCTGCATTTTGCAAGTTTCGCAAAAATGCGCGCATGGTGAGCAAAAACATCATAAAAATCACCATAGGCTTAACACGGGCGACGCAAATTTCGCGAACACCGAACGACGGCACGACCCGCGTCCACTCCCGGAGCCGTATCTCGATAACCAAGGGTTGCGGTGACATGAAACTTGCACAGCCAGGTGGAAAATAGAGTCGACGATAGAACTGGTGTAAGTTTAACGCACCACGTGGTATGTGGCACATGGACACGTGTTAGAAAGGTGGAATTGGCCGTGTTTGACGGGTTTTTACGTTTTGGCATTTATCTCGGCACGTAGCGCAGGTAGAAATTAGGTTTAACTTGGGCGGCTCGAAAAGCGACCTCGGTAAAAACCGGCGTGCGGCACGGCCGCCTCTGGGCAACTGTGGGTCGGAGCTACACAAAATTAACACGCTTCGACAGAAAATTGAACAGGGAATCGCGTGATGTCCCATGTGGCGCTGCGCACGTCACGTGCCATGTGCAAAGCAGCGGGGATAGATTTTCCCGTTTTTGACCGTTTTCACGTTTTATGCCACATCTCGGCAATCGGAGGAGATGGAAGCGTGAAACCCACTTAAAAGCGTTCACACACGTACCATGTACATTTCATATGAAGAACACCAGGTTCTGTGACGCACCGTTGCACCGGTAATCATTGTGCAAGCCGAGGATGTCTGGACTTGGAAAAATGAGGCCAAATACAGCATGCTGTCGTCGAAACAACTGGCAGGATCGCGTCGAGCTTAACATTGCCGCGTGTGCAAATTCATTGGCTCCAGTTACCATCCATTTTTAATAATTTTCCACTCTTATTCGTTCAAACATCGACTTCGCCTACAGGGTTGCGAGTTTTCTTTTTTGCGGCGTCGAAATGCCGCCGATCGATCGCCAAGTCGCAGTCATCGAAAAATTCAAGTAAAATGAGGGCAAACGCACGTGCGTATTCATCTGCCGGTCATTCACTTGGTGAAGGGCGGAGGAGTCAAAATCGCCATGCTGCGATTGCTGGCGTCAGCGGCGTTTTAATCATCTTTCGTTCATTCATTCGGTGCGGGAGAAGGATTGAACGAGGATCTGGAGTAGGGCCCGCCCCGCGGCTAAAGGATGGATCGGAGGAAGAACAAGAAGGGAAAAGGACGACGTGCTTTGGCGAGTTCCGTGCCGATGGGGTCAGCGGGTGGCGCGTGAATGGGAGCAATGTGGCCAAAGGCCGACAGGTCTTACTTGTCTAATAATTATTTCAGAAGGGAAGGAAGGAAGGAAGGGTGTTAGCCCGTCCGCCTGTGGGTCGTCTTGTGGCGTTGACCCGTAAGCAGGCTTGCGGGTCAACCTGCTTAACCTGCCTACGTGTCAGCGCAACATGGGTCGCTTAAGAATGAAAACTTGACAAGGTGCACGTGCGCACGTGCTGAAGTGTTACAGTGAGTTTCGAGCCGGTGGAATCAAGGGGTGCCGCGTAATACGTGCTACAAATTGTATTCTAGCCCATAGCTTTTACATGGGTGGCGCGAATAAGCCACCCAGGTCAAGACCGGCCAGCGGCCTTTCGAAACCATCGTCGCATCTCGGCAACCTGCGGATCGGAGCGACGCGAAATCAACACGGTGCGACAGGGAGTTCAACAAGAAATCATGTAAGGTCACGTGTGACGTCGCACGTGCCACGTGCCACATGCTCAGCAATGGGAAAAACAGATTTCCCCGCTTTTGACCGATTTTCACGTTTTATGCCGCATCTCGGCAATTGGAGCCGGTGGAGGCGGAATCCAACTTCAAAAGCGCCGACCTATGTGCTGTCATTTACATTTCGTGTTGGCCACATGAAATGTCATACCTTTCATTTGGCCAACACTAGACTATGCGACGCAACGCCGCCCCGGAATTAGTTGCGCAAACCGGGTACGTCGGGGTTTGGAAAAATAAAGCCAAATGAAACGCGCTGTCGTTGAAATCGTCGACACGATCGGGGTGGAATTTACATGACCGCGTGCGCTGATACATTGGCTGTAATTACCACCCTTTTAAGTCATTTTATGCCCTTTTCCGCTCAAACACCAAGTTGGTCTAAATTCCGTTTTTGTCGCGACGTCAATGTCGCCGATCGATCACCCAATCGCCGCCGGCGAGTAATTCAAGTAAAACCTGGGTAGAGCGCGCGCGCTGGGATCGAATACAACCGCCGTGTTTTATTCATCTTCAATTCATTCATTGGATGCGGGCGGAATATAGTTGAGCCACGGTGAAAACGACAATGCACCATTCCGAGTGCGTCGGGACCCCAAGAGCTTGGATGGTGTGCATGTTGGCCATACAAAGAAGCACTGGGGATCGGAATCCAACTCAATTTCTGTGAGTGTATTATATGCGATACGAATTGGAGGAATAAGGTCATTACAGCAAACCGCTTGCGCGTGCATCGGCCGGCTGAGCGGCACGGGTCTATCATTGACGTGTACCCCACCATCGTGGTCATCTGCACCCAGCCACCCCACCAGACTACCAAAGATGCGCCACCATTAGCTCAAAAATCTGCGCATCATACCGCTCCGACTTACGCAGCCACACCCGGCCACAAGACCTCAAAAGGACACCAGCTGACTGGATAACGAATGAATTTTCTTCGGGTTAGTCAGCAGTAAGCACACCCAGCAGGGTTTTTGAAATCAGAATAACTCAAGTTTCACTGACACGCGGTCCAACCAGCAGCGAGCATGTCCAGCAGGCCCTCTGGTATCATTTAGCATTTCAATGACCAGCAGTCGGGTCAGCGCCCTGTCCTGCTGATCACCTCAATAATCGGATGGGTGTGTCACAGCGCTGATCACGTGTCGAAACGCACCGTTTTATAACATAAGCGTATATATATATATATATATATATATATATATGCACACACACACACACATACATATATACATAGCTTATCATGGCATAGTATGCCATATTTATGGAATATATGTGGTGCAGGCATTGTGTTCTGTAATGACGTTTTTATAGCGATTTCTGCCACGTTTTGTCTCGAGCCAGTGAGTATTGTGCCGAATTGTGCCTAGCGAACATTGTAACTGGCCAAAGACCTGAAAAGCCACCTCGTGAATGATATTCGAGCAAGCAAATGCAAACATAACTGCACCCCACAATGATCGCTGACATTGTCCTGCTGACCTGCTGCTGACCTGCAACCCCACCACTGACCTTTCGCTTGTTGCTAAGCAGAACGGCGTCTCGCTGATTGTCGGCGTTGCCGGGCACGTCGGCGCCCCATATCTCGCAGCCGACCCGGCAGTAGCAGAACGAGATGACCATCACCGGAATAAAGTACTGCAACCGGTCAGGCTTGTGTCACAGTGCCGCACAGCAAAAGTCACAGCCGTGGCCAGGTCTCCGGGGCACGACCGCCTGTCACCACCTGGCACGCACGATTTAGGGCCAGTATTGTCGCGGTGACATGTGTGATGAGGGCCATGGTTTGTAACCCCCGCATGTTAAGGTCAGGCACTCCCCCCACCCCTTCCTCCAAGCAGACTTTGTTAGTCTCTGCTCGGTTACAACACGCAGCTTACAAATAACGGGCGCATTATGCACGCAGCAAAACACAATTTGCGTTACAGGAAGTCACATCAAATATATATATATATATATATATATATATATATATATATATATATATGTATGCATCGCAACCAAAAGCAACAGAATATGTGACTAACTCAAGTTCTGCATTACCATGTTGGTGCTTACTGTTGGGTTGTTATTCTTGGGAGCGGTTGTGCTCTGTGCGATCGATTACAGATTGTGACCGGTTGATAAGCTGTTCCTAATCGGAGTGCTTCCAACTTTTTTAGAAGAAGTGACCTAGAAGTGACCATTGAGCTATACCCGGTAATTTAGCCGCAGGATTTAAACTAGCTTCCGCCTGGCGCCAGAATGCATTTAAACTAGCTTCCGATTGGCGCCAGAATGGATTTGAACTACCTTCCGATTATCGCCAGAATGGATTGGTGGGCTTGTCAAAACATCGATCTTAAAACTGTGGGAATAAGGGGAAGGGACGATTTAACCGGAGAACAGAAGGCAGAGACATATATATATATATATATATATATATATATATATATATATATATATATATATATATGTATATATATATATATATGTATGTGTGTGTGTGTGTGTGTGTGTGTGTGTGTGTGTGTGTGTGTGTGTGTGTGTGTGTGTGTGTGTGTGTGTGTGTGTGTGTGTGTGTGTGTGTGTGCATTCAAATGCATATGAAGTCCATTAGAAATGTACGTTTTCCTATGATGTTACTAGTCCTGTAACCCTGGTTGTAGACCGTCAGTCACTGACCAATGCGTGACAAAAACGTGGAGTCGTGCTGAAGTGATTTGTTTGCGATACATCGGTCTAAAAAGGAGGTAAATCAAGGCAGGCTAACATGTGGCGGCTGTGTCATGACCTTACGTGACGCGTTAATTGTTGTAGAACAAATGCCCGTGAACATAGCATCGCCCTTAATTATTCCGCTGGTGTGACGAAGCCAGGATTTCCATACGGTCTTCTGTTTAGCTTGGGGCTGACAGCAAAGATCCATGCAAATTATGTTAGACAGGGGTGAAATAGATTTTAATCAAAAGTTAGTTAAAATTGTCTTTCGACGCCACAGGCTCCAGATCGACGTCATTCTCACAGGGAGGTCGCCCTCACGTCCTCATGGACATTTCTTTCTGTCTCCTTGTCATATGCTCATTCCCAACAAAAAATATAGATTCTTTCGGACCACACGCTTTCATTTTCACACTATAGATAGACCATTGATACCCGTAGCTGGGCCACTGGGATCACAAATAAGCTTGTACGCTGGTGCGTGTGGTAGCACATCACAGACTGTCAGCGCCTGTCCAACTCAGCCTCCCCTGGGGCATTGCCGTTTTCTGTCGACGGCATTTAAGGTGACCGTTATAGTGAGAGAGAGCGAGAAAGAGAGAGAGAGAGGGCGAGAAAGAGAGCGATAAAGAGAGAGAGAGAAATAGAGAGAGAGCGAGAAAGAGAGAGAGCGAGCGAGAAAGAGAGAGAGCGAGAGAGAAAGAGAGAGAGAGAGAGAGAGAGAGAGAGAGAGAGAGAGAGAGAGAGAGAGAGAGAGAGAGAGAGAGAGAGAGAGAGAGAGAGAGGAGAGAGAGAGAGAGAGGAGAGATAACGCTGCGTGCTTGAGAGACCAGGGCCGCGTTCCCATTGGCAAGAGAACTTGGTGGAGTTGCTACCTATGACGTCCCAAGTCCCTGCGTCATACATAAGCGACTATGCTCCAAGGCGTAGGAAATGTTGTGACGTACCCACCTCTGACGTCATAGGCTGCAACTTGTGGTCGGCGTTTGATATTGAGGAACGCTGCCCGAGGTGTGGGTTGTGGTTTCCCGCAGTGTCCGCACTTCCTGCCAGAGTGAAAGGCAGCCAAAGCCATACCGGCTCAGCTGCTGAGTGTGTCGTAAAGCCTCAACGACACCGATGCACGGTACTCACCTGAAAGCTGATGCGCGTGTAGAAGTAGACGTTCCGCGACACCTGGTCCACGCCCTGGTAGTCGCAGTAGGGCTGAGGACAAAACGGCACAGTCACACGCCGCGAGGGGCTGTCGAGCGCGGCGGAGCATCACGCCAGTTACGTCATCGTCATGACGCCAGGCGCAGCGCAACACGCCACAAACCGCAGAACATAGCAGTGCTTTAATGAAGGCACCCATGTACAATTTTATATCCATCGTTGCTTTTATCAGACAGACAAACACAAGGACGGGGTTCACGTTCCGAAGCAAGGTCGGAGCAGGTCACTGACCCAAAATGGTCGGAGCAAGTCTGTCACAAAGGTCGGAGCAGGCAACTGATCTAAAATGATCCAGGTCAATATTTTGTGGTTGAGAGTATAAGGTCTTGCGTAACCCTGACGTCTGTTGAAATTACAAACTATGAGCAAACTTGTAGATTCTGATCACCTTGACATTCTTGAGATGAAAAGGTCATTGACCTCAACTGAAAACCAATGAACTTTTCCATACAGCAAGTATCTAGGTTCAACACGTTTGCTTGAGGAGGTCTGGGGGTACTTTGGACACCGATCTGGAGTTTGAATTGATGAGATCTTAGTTGACCCCAAAACCATGACCTAGGAACCA